GTGCAGTAGGGCTTTCTTCCCCAATATTCCCCTTCCAGAATAGTAACCCCTGAAAACTCTTTACCTTCAACTTTGAGTTTAATGGTTAAGGGATGGTTGAAATCGATGTTTATTGCAACACCAGCAAGGAATGCAGGACACCAACAATGGTCGTGGATCATGTTTCTCGTCAAACCTTGCTGAGATTGGGTAGCCCAAAGTGCTAACTATTCTACCGAGAGCTTCGTCTGACCATAAGTTCCACGAGATTCCTTCAATCAAGACTCGTTAGGGGACAATATCAATGGGGTCTTCACAGGTGCTAGTTCTCAGACTCCATTTTCTAATTAAAACTACGTTGTTGCCAAACCAATCCCAATCCAGTTCAGAAACTCTTCTAAAGTCCAAGAATATATGATTGTTCTTCTACCTGTCTTAATCAAAAAGAGCTTATTGGCTACCAGTTTTGTTTAACGTGTTTTGCAACATAGGATTCATTAACAACCTAATTGATTGCTTTGATAACCAAGGAGGTGTCTTCAAGCCTGTTCCCTCACGAGTTTGCTAATGCAGGAATGTAGGCAATAGTATCCGCAAGTAGGGAGAAGTGTTCGAGAGCTTTTTGTTGGGTCCACTTCCTCAAAGCCTGACTCTGGAGCATGACAGACGTACTCAGGCATTAACTACAATGGAAGAAAAAGGCGAAGAGGAGAGCAACGAAGTTGGAATGAAAATAAATGAGATATTCCCCTTCCACACTTCTCACCATACCCTAGCTAAGCTAGAGCGTTAGGAGCCCTCAAAGATCCCTCATGGAAAATAACATACAGGCAGAAAAGTTGTTGCTTGATTTAAAAGAATTACCAAAGATGAAGAAAGATCTTCAATGTTCCAAAATGGTATTTCATATCTCGTGAGGATAAATGACAAAGAAGAAACAAAACTTCATGTAATACTCTAAAATTTTAATCTAACAAATTATACTATAAAGTATAAGAGAACCTTTGAAAATTAGATCTTCTCGAATAAATAAACAACACTGTATAATAACAAGAAAAACTATTCTAAGCACCACACATGGAAGGAAAGTATGGAACCAAGAACGAGATTTAACAAAGGAGGTCTCAAAAAGTTTACCATATCCACCATTAGCTGGAAAAACTAATTAGCTATCTGTACTGTATGTTTTGTCATTCAAGAAGACCTATTAACAAAAGAAATCATTGCTGAGTTCAAACCTAAACCCATCCATCAATCCTTTGCGGATTTGTTGATGAGAGATTTATGGATGTGGGGGATCACACCACCACCAGCAATGGTTCCTTTGATGAGTGTGTCAAGCTCCTCATCTCCACGGATAGCAAGCTGCAAATGTCTTGGTGTAATACGCTTTACCTTCAAGTCCTTGCTGGCATTCCCTGCAAGTTCCAGAACTTCAGCAGTAAGGTACTCAAGAATAGCTGCAGAGTACACAGCAGCAGTTGCACCAACACGGCCATTTGCAGCAATTCTTGATTTCAGCTGCCTGTGTATCCTACCCACGGGAAACTGAAATGACATTCCATGGTTATAGTAGTGAATGGTAGTTTATATGAGAAAAACTTGAAGAAAAATATCATGGGATTAAAAACATGAAACAATTTACATGATAGGTTTAACTTAAAGATGACACCAGACATTAAAACTATTTTTTAAATGTTTAGAATTGTTGTTTTGTTCTGGTGACTCGTTGATATGCATTTTAGATTTTTAGTTTCAACATTCAAGTTTCATATAAAAATATGATATTCAGTTCAGATTGGGCAAAATCTGTAAATTCCAAATCTGTATTAATATATAATCAGGTAATTATTAATTTATATATATATATTCTAATTAAAGTAACTAATCCTTAAAAAAAAAAATATCCAAAGGATGCAGATGAAAGATACATTACATATCCAATAATGATTTTTTTATGTAAGTAAAATTTCTTATTAATGAATAATGGAAGGGTGGGTAATGGGCCAGGCCAATGCCCATGTTACATTGAAGATAAAAATAAAGATAATTAGGGTGGGCTATGCTCCCAAACTCTTTCCTATATAGCACAATACAGCATTGCCACCTAGTGATGAAGTAACTAGGTGTGTTGCCGCAGGAGGTAGGTCTCTCATGCATGCATCATGGTTATCTCCAATTGTAAATAAGGTTTGAGTAGCATGCGATATAAACCCCATAGCAGGGGTAGCCGGCGCTATCTACCTCTCTATGACTATTGGGTTTTTAGACGGATCTAGATCAGGATCCATCCAAATACCCTTCAGGGTTAGGGACTTTAAATAGGGAGATAAGGAGGGGAAATCGCGATTTCTCCTTCAGATGTCGCGATTTCTCCCCTTTCCTCTCCCTAAATCCTAAATTTCAGAACTTCCGACCACCTCCAGCATTACCATTCACTACTCAAGCTCCTTCTGCTGAAGTTGATAGATTTCGACGAACCTACAAAAGAAGTAAAAGAAGGATGCAATCTCAAATGCTAGAGAAAATTGAAGAATAGATTTGACTATTTACTCATTTAGAGTTTTAGACTGTGATTTTACTCTTTATTCTGTGGCTACTAAAACATTTTATTTTGGCTTTTAAAACTATTGACTATTAGCTCCTCTTTATTGACTATCGATTATCACAAGGATTATAGTTAATTGATGGAATATTGGATTATCACGGAGTTTATATCAGAAATTTTAAAAAAATACACTAGGCACTATAGCATACTATAGCCCCATAGCGCGGATAGCCGGCACTACGCGCAATGACGCAACTCAAACCTTGATTGTAAACAACAACATTTTTTAAATCCTCAGATTTGAAAGATAGGTTGGTCTTGGCGATATCCTTGTGCCAAATCATGTTTTTTTAATCTATTGTGTTCACTTGTGCCAAATCAGCAGATTTCTTTTTTCCTTTCAAGTTTCAACCTCTATCCACACTTTTGGAGAACATATCTGACATATCTAACGAGCTTGTTCAAGGTCTATAACAGCATCTGAAAGGCAAAGGTTTAAAGTAAATTAGTTGAGACTTGAATACCAAGTTTTTTAGTCTAGTCACTAAAATCCAAGTCTATCCATTCTGCCCTAAAATTATTTTTCAGATCAGGTGCACGGTGCACCTCAGTAAACAAGATCACAAATGGAAGAGCGGAGTGTTGACTACTTCACCAAGGTGTTAGATGCCAGTGCCACTCCCAGACAATTTTCCAGAATTGTGTCTGACGAGATGAACTACAGCTACTGACTCCCAAGTCCCAACAACCTCTTGAAACTGAGGCTAAAGACACTTTGTCCTCATTCAAGTCTGGAAAGCGTCTAACCAGATGGATTCACTGCATCCTCTTCTAAAAGTTCTGGCCAGATTTTAGAAGTACCATCACGTGCTGTTTGAGGACCAAAAAATAACACACTAATTATCCTGGTATCCAAAAAGAAGTAAGCTTCTGATCCGGCTGATTTCGGAATTCGGGCTAATCTTCTGTGCAGCTGGGCTAACACAAATTTATAAACTCCTTTCTAAAATCCTTACAAGAAGGATGATGAAGGACTCTGATGATTGGTCTCTGAGAAGTAAACTAGATTTATGCTAGGGAGGACTATCTCACACAACACCCTTTTGACAGAGGAGATGTCCCATGGCTTCAAGAGAACAAAAACACCTAAGAGATGTGATCTAAGTGTAAACTGTAAACCTAAGGAATGATTTTAATACCATCAAATGAAAAGCAGTCATGGAGAGTGGAAACACTAAGAGTTCTAGATTTTTCAGATCTGTTATTGTTATTTATCAAAAACTTATTGTTGAAGCATTGTTATTCCCAATGACGGTTGAAGCTAGAGAGTACATCTACTAAAACATTTGGAAGGAAGTGAAGGCTCAAACATGGAAAGTTGGGAACCCAATCTCACGCATACTTTCCAATCTGGTTATGAATCAGTTTGATTGATGGAACAGCAAGTTTTTTAGGGTGTGCATCGGTGCACCCAGCCAGAGACGGCACATCACCCTAAGTTAAATTCAACTCGAATCTAGGAAGATATTTTATTAAATACCCCCCTCCTCGTGATTCAGACAAGGTCTAACTAACTGAATCACGAGTGCTGTTTTTCACCGTATTTTCTTACTTTTTCTCCTCCAATCAGCCACAACCACCTCCTTCTAAGGCTCTGACAATCTTTCCAAGCGTCCAGCTTAAGCAAGCTCTCCTCCGACCATCTTATTTGCTTTTCTTGTTGCATTTTCATCTCCAAAAAAAATCTAAACTATTGTATCATTTTTATGATTATGCATCATTTTTTTTAAATATTTACAAAACATGGTCATGTACACCAGTACAAAGTAAGATTGACTCACTGGTCTCAGGAACTATTAAAGTTTCTGAGGTCCAGGGTTCGAATCTTACTTTGTATATTTCCACTTAGATTTGTCTGATGATATATTATGTGGTTCTGATACATCATCCAGAGGTTGACAACTCTACATCTGTAGAGAGGTACCCTCCGTTATAAAAAAACAGTGTCTGAGAACCTTGCATAACAGTAAAGGATGGCAAAATTGGTTCCTATGTGGTGAATGGGACGAAGTCTACGTCTCTCCCAGGCAAATATCAAATCTTTGTAAGCTATCAAAGAAGTTTTGCAGATGGAGTCTGGAAATTTAAACCCAAAAAAATTGCACTCCTCCAATAGAGGGTTAGGTGGACTTCCATTGCCTCCTTTAGAGTCCTGAGTCAGTTGTGTGAAGATGAAGAGGAAAGTAGAACCATCTCTTTTTAAACTGCAAAGTCTTTCCTGGATATTCCTTCATGTTCTGTGAGAGAAATCAAGCCTTGACGTTCCAAAACTGACTAGAGGTGATATACTTTAGGGCAGGAGATGGACATAACTAGGGTGTCAAGTAAAGCTCGGCTCGATGGGCTCGGCTCGTTAAGTTAGGGCTCGGTAAGAGGAGTATAAAAGTAAAAAAATATTATATTTAGAGAGAATGGGGATGTAGCTCAGATGGTAGAACGCTTGCTTAGCATGTGAGAGGTCTCAGGATCGATATCCCATTTTTCCAAATTATTTCTTTTAACCTACAATTTCAGAATTGCAGGTTAAGTTCGAGCTCAAGTCCGGGCTCGCGAGCTTCGAACCCGAGCCTGGCAATTCTTTTACAAGCCGAGCCCGAGCTCGGCCAAACCAGGCTCGACGAGCTCGAGCCCGAGCCTGGATAACTCCATAACGAGTCTGACTCTATAAGCAAAAGCTCGACTCGGTTCGTTTGACACCCTAAGCATAATTGCACCCAAAAATTTAGGGTGAAGTCAAATTGCTAGAGATTGATGTGGTTTCTCATGGGGCAGCTGTTTTGCACATTTAGCAGGAGAGGAATAAAAATACTCAGGATAGAAGATCCAAATTTCTAAACCTCATGAGAAACTAAGCAAAAGCATACTCAGGGATGTGCAAATCTGTTTTGATGTGAAATACATTCAAATTCTAGTCAGATGGAGATCTGAGTCTTGGGAAAATGGTGGAGTCAAGTATAGGATTTTCCTACAGTGAGAAATTAAGCCATGGCAACAAACCAACATTAACACAAGGTTTGAGTAGCACGCGCTATGGGAAGTGGACCTTTAGGCGGTTCCGGGTTAGGATCTGCCCAAATACCCAAATAGGGTTAGTATTTATATAGATTTCTCTTCCAGATCTCATGATTTCTCCCTATCTCTCTCCATTTCTCCCCATTTTTCCTCATTTCTAAAACTTTCGATTTAATTTGATCACTAATTATTGTATATATCTAGAATTTTTTAAAAATACACTTGGCGCTATAGCACGCTATATCCCAAGGTTTAAAAACCGGTTAACCGGTTCTGGCTGGCCGGTTTTCCGGTTAGGACGGTTAACCGGTGGGGGTATTTTCGTAATTTTTTCTTCATAAATTCACTCAAAAATATATTTTTATGCCAAAAATTTATACATTGGTCCATGCAAAGAGTTATATTATTTTTAATAAAAGCTCCTCCCACTCTTAAGACTTTCATATTTGTTTTAGACAAAATGAATCTTTATTTATAGACCAACCTTCTTTGTGTTTTTTAAATTCTATCGATGTGGGGCTAAAAATGTGTAGTTAAAAATATTATAAATATTCTTTGTACTTTTTATTAATGTGGGACTAAATAAAGTGTGCATGCATGTATTATTACTTTGTACACTTTATATCAATACATGCAGGTACACTTTATAATAATACATGCATGTACACTTTATTTAGTCCCACATTAATAAAAAGTACAAAGAATATTTTATAATATTTTTAACTACACATTTTTAGCCCCACATCGATAGAATTTAAAAAACACAAAGAAGGTTGGTCTATAAATAAAGATTCATTTTGTCTAAAACAAATATGAAGTTTTAAGAGTGAGAGAAGCTTTTATTAAAAATAATATAGTTCTTTTCATGGACCAATGTATAAATTTTTGGCATAAAAATATATTTTTGGCCTTAAAATAAATTTTTGGTTTTAAAAAATGGGTCGGATATTTGAGTCGGGTACGGGTCAGACCCGACCCGTAAACCCACAAACCCGCTCCAACTGACCGGCTACCAGTTTTTGATTTTTTACCGATCAGCCAGTTAACCGTTGGTTTTTAAACCTTGCTATATCCCCATATAAAAAATGAATGTATAGAGTAATTAATGCAGTAATGGATATCTAAATTTTTCAATATTTTTTTGAAAACAGCAATAACTAAAAATAAATTCTAATTTACCATAAATTTTAAACACATTCTAGAATTACTAAGTGTAAATTTTTTTTGATGAAAAAAATTACAAATTTAATGGTTCATGACTAAGATGAATTAATAACTAAATGACTTCGTGTTGGAAATTATTTAAGCATACAGAATAAATGACAATAAAACAGACTTAAGTATTGATTTAAAGTTAAAAATAAAAATCGATAATTTTTTCATTCATTTTCATTCACTTGACTGTATTATTTTACCTGGAGTCCGGCACGTGATGATCTAGATACTGGTTTCTTCTTATCTTTATCCTTGTTTGCAGCTGTGGTCTTCCCAGCCACAAGTCCCTTGCCACCCTTTCCTGCCATTTCACACTCCTACAAATTTCATAACAAAACAAATCAGTAATACTTCAACCATTAGCCAGATATTATATACTAATTACAAATACACTGAAAAGAAGAGAAAAGGCACTTGTAAAAAATAAATACTAAGATTAAAAAACAAGAAAGGCAACCAAAAAGATAAGTTACAATAAATCATGCACCAAAAAACCACAATGAAAACAAGAAAATGTAAAAAAAAACTATCAAAATATAGGTTGCAATGATTTCATTGGTTCGTAAAGATCGCGACGTGAAAACTATTTGCAAATAAATATTTATTTTACCAAAAAAAGATTTCAATCTCTTTCGGAAATAAAAATAAAAATGCACAGAACTTTCAATCAGAAATCCCCAAACCTTCGATAAGATGAAAAATGAAAAATAATCATTCTACCGGTTCGTAAAGATCACGGCGTGAAAACCATTTGCAAAAAAACATTTATTTTACTAAAAAAAGGTTTCGATCTCTTTCGGAAGAAAAAAAAACACGCACAAAACTTTCAATCTGAAATCCCTGAACCTTCGATGAGATGAAAAAATGAAAAGTAATCATTCTTCCAAAGAAAAAGGAAATGGTTAAAAACATAAAATTCAAACAAGATGACGGGAGTGGGCAGCCAAACTCTGAAGGATAAAAAATGCTAACAAAAAATCAAAACGAAGACGAGTAAAAATTGTAATTCCAGAACAAAAACAAAAAATTTACCAACTTCATCCGTTCTGTCAAAAGCCAACCCATTGACCGCTCAAAACATAAAAACACTTGGAGGAAATCCGAAAGTCCAAAAAGGGACGCAAAATAACTGATCTTTGTTAGGGGAAATACATAATAAATCCCCTAACATGACAACACAAACAAAAACCTAGGAAGAGAAATTCATAACATGACAATGAAACCGCTGAAGAGAAAATAGATCGAAAAATACCTTAAAGAGATAGGCGCTTCGACGATTTGAAAGATAAACAAAAAAAAATGAAGAATCAAGCAGAGGAGAGGGAAAACGCTGGCGAATTTTCTGAGATCGGGAAAGTTGGGAGAAATTGGGGATTTGGTCAAGTTATATAGGGTGGACGTGATAGGACCTTTAGTATAAGGGTAATTTCGGTATAAATGAATGTAATTGGGACGGTTTTCCCAATTTATGTTTGTAACAAAATAATTTTATACAGAAAAAAGTCAACATATTAAAACAAGGTTCAATTCACAATTCACAACTCCCTCAAGTCACTACCCGTACTTGGTACTTATAAGTTACGATGAAAGGAGTCATTAGGTCAACGCAGTGTGTGTAGGAGGCTAGGAGCTCGAATAAGGTCGACGACTGGGCGGATCGGCGAATCAGTGAGAAATCCTGGGTGGGTCAATGATCCTATGAGAGGCCCTCGGTAGGTCGACGACTCTGTTAGAGGCCCTTGGTGGGTCGACGACCTTTGTTGGATCGGCGACCCTGTCGGAGTCCCTTGATGTGTTGGCAATCCCCTACTGGAGAGTTTGATGGGTCAGCAGCGCCCTTGTGGAACAATGAGAGTCCCTTGATGGGTTGGCAATCATGCTGGAGAGTTTGATGGGTCGGCGCCCCTGTGGAACGAGGGAGTCCCTTGATGGGTCTACGATCTTATGATAGACCCTTTGTTAACAGTAACAACTAAAGGTTGTTAGCTTAGTTAGAAATAAGTTGTTAATTAATATCTGTATAAATAATGATGCAACAACCGTTAAACTCGACGATACAAATTACTTTTCGTGGAAGGCATATATTCTCGCCAACCTCAGGGGATAGGATCTGCTCCCGTTCATCGAAGCTCCGGCAGACACTCACTATAAAAAACCAGCGTAGTTCTGACGGTAAATACTGGCGGTTAGGCCGCCGATATGTCATCGTCAGAGGTAATATCGCAAGCTTTGTAATATCCTGACGGGCAATATATTTTGGAATCCGATTATTGATCGAAATTGCTGACGGTCAGACTGCTGGTGTAAATTTCAATTTCTGTCGGCCAAACCGTCAAGATCTTTTTTTTTTAAACAATTAAATTTCATTCAAATAATTTTATTGGTTATTTATTTAATTAATTATATATTATTTATTAAAAATTATATTAAATGAAAATAAAATTAAAATTTTAATTGAGATTGAAATAGTCGATAATATTTAAAATAATTTGCGACCAAACAAAATAAGAAATTTTTTTAAGTCGCTAACTATCTTAATTTCTATTTTGTTGATTGTCGTTCTTTTTCTTTTTTGAAGAAATCTTTTTAATAACGAGCTTTGAATTTGATATCTCGTTTCTTGAGAAAATGATTGATCGTCCACGAGGTTGTGTAAGAGTCTGCTCCTCTGGTTCAATCGTTGGTTGAGGAGTCTGCTGCACTGGTGCCCGTGACGTTGACGCTTCAGATGATGGAAAATCCGGTATGTGCATGTTCGGATTTTGAACTTGAAGAGCGTTAGTATATTGTTGAAAAAGTTTCATTTGACGAGTCATCGCATTCTCCACTATATCATTAACCTATAAATGAAAATTTAAATATAATAAAAATGTCGTTAATATATAAAATATATAGATTGATTAAATACGATGTATTGTTTGTTTGCTTAATGACAAACCAGATGTTCCTACTAGACAAGTTCTCTTTGTGTTTTTTCCGATATGTTTAGTTATAGCATACTTGAACAAATCTTAATTAAACAAAATAAATGAATATTTAAAATAATTAAAAATCGATTAATTAATTATATTGAAATAAAAAATTAAATAATAACCTCTTCGGACATCGATATTTGTTCCGCCATTTTTATAGCTTCTTCACTTTTCAACTATTTGAACGCTTTGTCCTATAAAAAAAAATCAGAATATTTAAGAAAAAAAATAGTAACATGTTATTAATTAATTAAACAGATCATGTACCACTCGTTTGTCTTTTGGAT